AAGAGGTTCGTCCTGGTCCGCCATCTTTGTTTTGCTTCTCACCGCGTTGCAGATGATATTGGTGGCCGACCCCTTCAAGCCGATAGAGGTCACTGCAAAAGGAACTCCTCGCAGACAAACTGTTTTAGATATGTACGCGGACGAAATCCGAGGCTTATATCGGACCGTCGAGGAATCCTTTCAGAAGAATCTCATCGCCCCAATCGAATTCGATGCTGCTTCGAGCCTCGAGTTCGTTAAAAAAATAGTCGGGGAGGTGATGGTCAAGACACCAGGGGACGATGACGACATATTTCAGCACGGATGTGATAGGTAGGCGAGATCTCCGCACGCTTTCCCGTCGCTTACATCAACCATAACAGCTTGCAAGCAACCTGGATACGCAATTCCATTCTACACGCTTCGATAAATTCCCACCAAATCGATCCCGCGGCGATTCCGACGAATTTCGTTTATTCCCACCCTACCCTGCGAATGCTCGCCGAAATGTTGACCAAGCTCGCTACGGGAGGAGTATCTAAACCTGAGGAGATTTCACGCCGCGTCGATGCAATGGAGGCGATGGTACAGAAGTACACCCAGGGGTTGCAACAGCATATGGCGACGGCCGCCGCACCAAAGGCGCAAGCGGTCTTGGTCACGGGCACAACCGGGGCTTTCGGAAGCCAAATCCTCGCCCATTTGCTTGCCTTGCCGGAAATATCTACAATCTACGCGTTTAATCGGCCATCCTCAAACCTTCGAGAACGTCAATTCAGCTCGTTTGTGGTCAATGGAATTGATACCCGCTTGCTCGACTCGCCGAAATTGAAACTTCTTGCGGGTGAGCTGAACGCTCCTCAGTTTGCGCTCTCCGGACAAGACTTCGACGCACTGAGGGAGAATGTTACATCGATCGTGCACAATGGTGTGGAGCTTTTTGCATCTTCCTATTACACTGGACTGAAAGATGAATTCGCCAGCGTGGCAGGTGAACTTTAATATCTCGCTGTCTACTATGGAGCCATTGGTCACAGCAACACGCCAGCTGATCGATTTCGCGCTTACGAGTCCACACCCATCGCCCCCTCGCCTACTATTTGTAAGCACTGCCGGAGTGTTCAGGAGTGAGTGCCCTTAGTTTGGTCTGGCGAAGCAAATTATCTACACGTTGAACAGATTTAAATGGAGAGGGCACTGCTCTGGAACGCCCTATATCGGATGCCCGAGTTTCTGTTGGATTGGGATACGCCGAGTCGAAATGGGTAGCAGAGAAGGTACTCGAAACAGCAGCTCAGATGACGACGTTGGCTCCCGTCATAGTTCGTCCTGGGCAGCTTTCAGGGGCTTCCAACGGGGCGTGGAATACGAACGAGTGGTTCCCCGTTCTTTTGCGATCGAGTCAACTTTTGGGACATTTGCCGACCATATCTGGGGTGAGTCGCTCATAATTCAGTCTTCAACGTATTCACTAGTCTCTTGAAGCGAATCTCTTGGATCCCAATTCATCACGCAGGAAAGGCACTTGTCGAGATGCGAGACAGCCAGAAACGACACATGCACCTGAGCCACCCGCATCCCGTGCCGATGGCAGACATTCTTTCGCCGCTATCCGAAATTCTGGGCATTCCTCTTGTTCCGTATTCTAATTGGCTAGAGTCTTTGGAAGCAGCCGCTTCGCAGGAGTCTGGGGCGTCCGCCAATCCGGGTGTTCGTTTGATCGATTTCTTTCGCTCATACCGAGACGTGACTCCGGACCAAGAGGCGTTCTTCCCTGCGTTTTTGTCAAACACGGTGGCCGTCGAGACATCACTTTCGTTGTCGTCTGTTGTCCCTCTTACGGCGCAAGATGTCGAGGGATGGACGTCATATCTGCGTGGAGGAGGATACCTCGCTTGATTCCGGGTGGTGCGGTTGGCGCTTTAATGGGGCAGAGGAATACCGAGACACTTAAAATTTTTGTAAATACCCATCTATGTTCAGTTATCAATAAAATCAAGGTGTAGCACTTTGAAGTGCACGGAATCTCCAGAAGTGGTCCAGTTTCGTGAAGTACCGCGTCGAAAGCAGTGGCGGCGATTAATGTTGTAAATAAAATGAAACAATAGCGAATCAGAATGATTGAGATGTCGGAGACAATGGATGTGTAGTTACGCATATATAAAAGACGGGGTGTACATGAGCGAGCTATATAACTCAAGGGTTGAACGCAGAAGCCGGGGAGAGCACACCATAACTGCGAGAACACCGATATTATGTGAATGGCAGCTGCACGAATCTGTGGAATTGAATTCCAACGACGCGAGATGCCCGGAGTGTGGTTCAACTTGATCATTTCAGCTTACTTGTGACTCATTATAGGGCCTTTTCAGTAGCCCGTGTGAGAAGTATATGGCGACAATACGGTTAATCCGCAGAACAAGACGAACATCGCGCGGTAGATTGTTGAACTTTGAGGTGCACGTGAAACATCGGTATCGGCCGAATCGGTCACTCCCGAAATCAAAAACGATTTCTCTGTCCAGTTTAACCATAGGTGAATGATATGAGCAAAATATGGGGAAGCAAAAAAGCGATGGACAGCTGGCAATGCCTTCAAGGGACCTCGAACCCCCTGTCGCATTCCATCAAGGTCAGTCTCCCGTATTCAGACTTGACGAGTTTTGTGAACAGTAGTCGATAAAATAAGGAAAGGTCCCAGGGTGATTTTTGCTTGTAGTCTTCGAAGGTTTTCTCTGTCTAGTTGAGCGGTTGGGCAAAAATTCAACTAACCAGTCATTGGAGCCCACCGTTTAATTGCACAAAGCGATTTCCAATAATCAAAAAAGTCTTTCTCGGTCCACTTTAACTGTAGATTATATGAGCAAAAGCCGTTACTTTGGGATGAAAAGAAAAATCGACTTAGAAATGCCTTCGGGAGGACTCGAACCCCTATCTCCTCGAAAATTCCATCATGCGGCAGAGTTACAGGATGATTTCCATTGATCAACCAAGGCTTCATATCTATGGTTAACTGCAGATCATATGAACAAAAAATGAAGCTTTCTTGAGAAGCAACAGGCGATATTTCGGAGTTGGTCATGCCTTCGGGGTCCAGAAAGTTATGTTTTATTTCCATAATTGAGGACTCGGAAGAGCATTGAACACATCGAAGTTACTAAAGGGGGATTTCCATTAATCCTCAAAGGCTTCTGGGCCGTGAACCATATTTCCAAAACCGACAGCTTGGGATATTGACGAGACCACAATAGCATGCCTTCGGGGGGAATCGAACCCTCGTTATCCTGAGAACTCGTCGGTGTGTTTTCCACCAAAAGGTCCAAGGTGTGATTTCCATTTATCAATGAAGGTGTTCCCTGTCTAGTCTAGCTGTGGATGATATGCTCAAAAACCGACGTCCTGGGGGGAAAAACTGTTATGAGAACAGAACTCCCTGAAAACTGGGACACAACTTACCAAGAATCTCGGGGTGATTTCGTTAATCTACGAAGGCTTTCTCTGTCCTGTTCGGCGGAAGTAGATGGTAGGAGCAAAAATTGAACCCTAGGCCTGATTGAGAGGAAAAAAGAGACTTTAATTTGGGAACTCCTTTGATCGAGGGATTCGGACTGAGAACAAAGTGCCACAAGAGTCGCAGGGTGCGTTCTGTTGATCAACAAATTAAAGTCGAAGTCGATTCATGTAAGGCTTCCCCCTATGGTTTACAGTAAACTGTCGATATATGCCCAAAAAGAACAGCATCGCTATGATATGCCTTCCGGGGGGATTCGAACCCCCGTCTCCCTGAGACTTGATCAATATGGCATGCCTTCGGGAGGATTCGAACCCTCGACTCCCTGAGAACCCGTCGGCTTGTTTTTCACCAAAGTTCCAGGGTGATTTCCATTAATCGACAAAGGCTTTCTATGTCCTGTTCCGCCGCAGAGGATATGAGTAAATTGAACCCTAGACCTGATTGGCAAGAAAAAGAAATGGACTGGAAATGCCTTCGGGGGGACGAACCCTCGTTATCCTGAGAACTTGTCGGCATGTTTTCCACTAAAGTCCCAAGGGTAATTTCCATTTATAAACAAAGGTGTTCCCTGTCTAATTTAGCTGTGGATTCTATGCCTAAAACCGACGTCCTGGGGGAAAAATGCAATGAGAACAATGTCATGCCTTCGGAGGGACTCGAACCCTCAACTCCCTGAAAACTGGAGCACGTATTCGACGAAGGGTCCCGGGGTGATTCTCGTTAATCTACGAAGGCTTTCGCTGTCCTGTTCGGCCGTAGATGATAGGAGCAGAAATTGAACCTTAGACCTGATTGGGAGGGAAAAGAGAGACTGATATTTGGGAACTCCGAGTCCTTTGATCGAGGGATTCGAACTGAGAACGAAGTGCCACAGGTCAATGCGTTCTGTTGATCAACATTTCGAAGTCGATTCATTAAGGCTTCCCCTATGGTTTACAGTAAACTGTAGATATATGCGCAAAAGAACAGCATCACTATGATATGCCTTCGGGGGGATTCGAACCCCCGTCTCCCTGAGACTTGATCAATATCCACCTCAATGCCGCAGGGTGATTTCCATTAATCCATGAAAGGGCTTTCCTTAACCTGTTCAACTGCAGATGATATGGGCAAAATTGAACCCAGGATCTACAGGGAAAAAATGGAAATCGCAAATGTAAGCTCTAAGACTAGGGGGGACTCCAACCCTCGACTCCCTGAGACTGATGTTCAGAGTTCTAACAGTCACAAGGCGATTTTCCTTAATCTTAGGCTACGAAGGCTTCCCTTGCCTTGTTCAACTGTAGATGATATAGGCAGAATTGAACACAGGAAAAAAACAGTAAACCCTACTGCCTTCGAGGACTCGTTCCTTGTTTCCTGAAGCTCGAAGAGCGCAAGGTGATCCTCCATTAAGCGAGGAAGGCTTGTTCGCGCCGCGCGGGGGATAAAAGACTGTATGACGTGTTCATAAGAAGTAATCTCATGAGAATGAGGACCGGAAGAAAAATGAAAAGCAACAAACACATGCCCGCAGGAGGATTCGAACCTCACTTCCTCTGAAAATGTGGACGAAACCCATAGACCTATTTGTTAGAAACGATCTACCACTGATCTATGCGGGCGTGATTGTATTAGTGAGTGAAGGTATTTATTGGTGTCAAGGACATGTACTAAGTGCAAGTACGTCACTGTAGTGAGCTCAGTAGCGGAGAGGTTAATTTTGGAGCCCCTCTCGTGGACAGCACGCCAAGCGTTCCAGGCGTAATGTAGTCTCTCTTGACAGACTCCCTCGCTCGTTCCTCGTTCTGAAGTCTGTTAGTTACCGCGGTCTGATTACTGTTAGGTCCCCTTATTATGTAATGTTGGCGATGCTTGCACAAACAAATGATTTCTGGGACGCGTTCTGGACGTGTTTGGGGCTTCCTGCTCAATTTTTATAATCCAGTTGTGTTTCAATACAATTGATTCAGTTTTTCGTCATTTTTAGTGATTTATCAAACATGTCAAGGTTACTCAAGCCATACTTCCGTCAAATCAGCCACTTTCAGCGACCATTGATGATTTCCAAGCTTTGAGCCGGAAAAATACTATTTCGGAGGGAATTGGATTCTTTCCAGGAGTTCTATCCCCTAAATTCTGCCAGAAATTCTTCTGTCGCGGGTGGCGCGTCCAAGTCGCGTCGTTTCGGCTAACCGGGCCTTCCTAAACGGGAAGCTTACATAACAAGGAGACCTAACGGTAATCAGGGCGCTGTAACTAACAGACTAGGCGTAATGCAACTTGCAAAAACGCTCAGAAACGCGAACGGGCTAATCAACATCGGTCAACAATTTGAGAGGAGATCGAGGTGCCTAATAAATGAACCAAAATTCAGGAGTCCCGACTGATTAGTCAGCAAGTCCACACGCGGCGCCCCCTACAGCGATGATGCCACTGTCCAACCTGACTGTTGGAGATTAGCAATCCAGCACAAGCCCAAGGCAAAGTTGAGGTCACTGACTGATATGGAACTCAATGGAACTTGCTGGAACATGCAGGAATAATTGGGATTTTAGTATAAATACTGTACCTACAGTAGAGCTCCTCATGAGCTTGTAACCTAAGGCCTCATGGCTGAGAGTGATATCTTACCAGGTTCACGAGATAAAACGAACACCGACCCCGCCGCCCGCGTTCTCGTCGGGCTCGGCAGCGTCCTTCCCAGACATCAACGACTCTGCCGCCCTCGTTCTTCAACTACCTCGACTGTCGACGAGGACGTCAAGCTAGCATCAAGCCCTTGCCATGCTGTGGAGGCGGTGGCCCCAGCAATAACACAAGATGATAATGACCTCAGTGTGAACGTAGCAACGCGGACATGATGCTGGGCATTGACCTGCAGCTCTTTCGCCGCCTTCAATACATCTATCCGCGTCATCCCTCTCAAGATCGGCGTCCACGACACGTCAAGGGCACCGTCCAAAGAACCTCCGCCACCAATGCGTTTATGCTGCAATCTGAAGGGCTGTGACGCGGACGATGATACCAACCGAAGATGAGCAGCAAGGAGGAGAGGCAGCTGCGGAACAAGATCAATGCGTGTAACGGTGCGTTTGCATCTCCCTTTACTTTTCTTCCCATCCTTTCTTCTTATCCATTTTCACTTATTCTTCATATAGAATACATATCCACCGTCTTGCCTCACCCTTTCGCTCCTTGCCACTGAATGCAGATTGACGCAGTCCAATAACCTCTGCTAGATAATCACGGTCCGGCTCCGGTTCTCCTTCCTTACAAGGTCGCCCTCCGCCTCGGGAGTCGACTCCTATCCGCTCCCTCCGCGATGACCGCGCGCTTCTGGACCAGCAAGGGGATGCGAGGAGATCACCGTAACTGCGAGAACACCGATATTATGCAAATGGCAGCCGCAGGAATCTGTGGAATTGAATTCCGGAGTGTGGTTCAACTTGATCATTTCAGCTTAATTGTGACCAATTATGCATAGGGCTATTACGGATCGTATGTCCAATGTGCGAGAACCATATGGCGACAACACGGTTAGTCTGCAGAACAAGACGAATGTCGCGCGGTAGATTGTTGAACTTTGATGTGCACGTGAAACATCGGTATCGGCCGAATCGGTCCAGAAAAACACTCCCAAAATTTGCCGGAAATCAAAAACAGGTTTCTCTGTCCAGTTTAACCGTGGATAATATGAGAAAAATATCGGGAAGAAAAAAAGAGATGGACAGCTGGCAATGCCTTCGAGGGGACTCAAACCCTCAACTCCTTATCGCATTCCATGTCCATAAAACTCAACATGGAAAGGTCCCGGGTGATTTTCGTCCGTCTTCCCAGGTTCTCTCTGTCTAGTTAAGCGGTTAGGTAAAAATTGAACTAGTAATTCGCCACCATATGCCTTGGGAGGGACTCGATCGCCCGTCGCCCTGAGAAGTCACCGGAGCCACCGTTTAATTGCACAAAACGATTTCCATTGATCAACAAAGGCTCTGTAGATGGTATGAGCCAAAACCGCTACCTTGGGATGAAAAAGAAAGATAGACTTGGATAATGCCTTCGGGAGGACTCGAACCCCCATCTCCCTGAAAATCTGGGTCCCTCATGCGACAGAGTCACGAGGTGATTTCCACTAATCAACAAAGGCTTCCTATTCATGGTTAGCTGTAGATCATATGAGCAAAAAAAATGAAGCTTTCTTGAGAAGCAACAGGCATTATTTGTGAGTTGGTTATGCCTTCGGGGTCCAGAAGGTCATGTTTTATTTCGATAATTGACTCGGAAGAGCATTGAATACATCGAATTTACTACAGGGTGATTTCCATTAATCCTCAAGGGCTTCTGGGCCCGTGAACCGTATTCCCCAAACCAACATCTTGGGATAAAAAATTGACGAGACCACAATAGCATGCCTTCGGGAGGGTTCGAACCCTCGACTCCCTGAGAACTCGTCGGCTTGTTTTTCACCAATGTCCCAGAGTGGGGAATGCCTTCGGACTCGAACCCTCAACCCCCTGAAAACTGGAACACGGCTTTGACCAAGAGTCCTGGGGATTTTCGTTAATCTACGAAGGCTTTCTCTGTCCTGTTTGGTGGGAGTAGATGATAGGAGCAAAAATTGAACCCTAGGCCTGATTGGGGGGAAAAAGAGAGACTGATATTGGGAATTCCTTCGATCGGGCGATTCAGACTGAGAACAAAGTGCCACAGGTGCGTTCTGTTGATCAATAAGTCAAAGTCGATTCATGTAAGACTTCCCCTATGGTTTAAACTGTAGATGACACATATGCGCAAAAAGAACATCAAGGTGGTAACATGCCTTCAGAGGGATTTGAACCCCCAGTCTCCCTGAGAATTCAACGTTCGACGTGATCACATTAATGTCGCAGGGTGATTTCCATTAATCAATGAAGGGCTTCCCTTGGTTTGTTCAACTGTAGATGATACGGGCAAAATTGAACCCAGGAGCTCCAGGGGAAAAATGGATATCACGCATGTAAGCCCCAGGAGGGACTCGAACCCTCAACGCCCTGAGACTGATGTTCAGGGTCCTAACAGTCACAGGGCAATTTTCCTTAATCTACGAAGGCTTTCCTTGCCTTGTTCAACTGTAGATGATATGGGCACAATTGAATACAGAAAAAAAAACAGTAAACCTCACTTTGAGGACTCATTCCTTGTTTCCTGAGCTCAAAGAGCACAAAGTGATCTTCCATTAAGTGGGGAAGGCTTGTTTGCGCTGCGCGGGGGATAAATGACTGTACGAGGCGTTCAATAGAAGAAATCTCATGGTAATGAGGACCGGAAGAAAAATGAAAAGCAACAAACATATGCCCGCAGGAGGACTCGAACCTCTGCTTCCTCTGAAAATATGGACGAAACCCCTACTCATCATCCCCAAAAATAACCGGAAATTCATTTATTATACAGTATATACCCGGTACTTGAGCCATCAGAATTTGATTCACATGCCTACCGTTATTGGTTGATTTTTAGGCCCAAACTTGTTATGGACCCTGATTCTCACAGATATGACCATTTAATGTCCAAGATTTAGCCCAATCGAGGTAGAATTGCGCGAGATATAACGAAAATTGGCTTGGCTCAAGTAACGAAGTGAAGAAACACAGCCAAACAAATAGGCAGAAAAAATTCTTTTGTACTGCTGTCCTGCCATTATCCACTCATATTCCGAGCTATATATTCCTTATAAATGTATTCTCATACCCTAGAACAGATATTGTGCCCCGGAATCATGCAGAATGGGTTATTTCAGCTTGGCTCAAGTAATGGGTCTGGCTCAAGTACCGGGTATATACTGTAGCTAAATTTGTGGAATATTCTTGGTCTGATTGCCTAGAGATGTTTATCTGGATATATTCTTGCCCTCCTGAGCGAATTCGGTATCAAAAATCATGTGCACACTTTGTGTATATCAATTGTTTAGGGCCCTGTTCATTTTTGCTACTTGTGTGAAAATTGAGATGTACCACTTGGTCTTTAAGTAGGTAAACAGTTTTCAGTGGTCAGGACCATGCCTTAGGATATGCTTCATGTGATTTATGACCTGGAAGTCAAGTAAAGTGAATGGTTGCTCACTATCAATGCACTTTCTGTGGCAGGTCATGTTTGTGTGGATCTTGCGCAAGCTGCTGTCCAGTTAACCCCAAAAAAATAGAACTGTGAACAACTCAACTTTGTGCAAGACCTACCCGGAGCATTTCTTAGTAATTGTTGCATACATTCATGATGTTCTATACCTATTACCATCTGAATCATTTGTATACCGAGTAATTCCAAAATATGACAGATAATGCTGCAGCACAATTTGCAGCATGAATCTGGGGCATAATCACAAACCTAACTGTCCCAGAATCTAACAGAGATGTTGATTCATCTATTACAAAGGACCCCACTTTGTGTTCAGGCTCGTGGTATTTTCTTTGCGAGGTTTCTTGCAACTGCTGGATAAAATGGCATAATTTAAACAGGAGTTGGGAATGTTTTCTGGTCCGCACGGAGCAACACTGGGGCAATTTCCCCCAAACAAGTTATGTGGTCTGAAGCTAATATCAGTAGGTGTCTGGTGGTAAGGCATGAATAGCCAAATCCGGTAAGATGGTAT